AGAGAGAGAGAGAGAGAGAGAGAGAGAGAGAGAGAGAGAGAGAGTGCAATGTCCCTGTGTGTTCAGCTGTGAGGGTTTGTGTGCAATCTCAACAGATTTCACATGGTTACAGAAAATGATGTGTGCGCTCATGTTCTTGATAGGATCACTGTTTTCATTTCTAGAATTCCACCACAGACACACACACATGCAGGCACACACACAAATATAGTCTGTCCCAAGTGTCCACCCTTCCTGAGCGGAAGTGCATCAAGTGGCTATCACCTCAAAGGCTGAACACTCAGTAGTCGCAGCACTTACACAGTATGTTTGTTTGATTTTGGTCAAATCTATCAATGTTTATGGCTGAAGAACAGTGTGTGTGTCTGTTTCCTTTCCTGCTGTGATTTGCACCAGTAGTGCCTGGAAGCAATTTGGACATTTGGACCAAGTATCTTTTTGCTTTTACTGCAGAATCGAGGGATAACACAAATCAGACAGCGTGAGCCTGGGTTGCACTGTGGCACTTCTGGTTTAGTTTTCATACAAAGCCTCAATTATTATTATTTTCCTTTATTTTTACTACGAGTCATAAATCCCAATGATAACTGGCATCTACTAAAGCAGTGGGTCTCAAAAGGGGGGTTCCCGGACCCGCAGTGGTCTGTGGCACATTTTCAGGGCACTGCATAAAAAGTTTAAATTAATCCATTAAAGTTCTGTATTGATACAAAGAACAGATTTTTGATATATATATATAATATCTTTCAAAGACATTTGTCGTGTTGCCCTTTTACATAAGGGGGGATCTTTTGTATCTTGTTCAAGGTCCTTGGCTGAAAAACAACCAGTACTGCACACAACCTAGATCCACTAAATTAGGATTTAATCTCTTTAAACTGTATAACAAACCTGTCTGCCCTTTTTTTATTGAAGACATTTGAGCAAATATTTAAATTTAGAAATAATACAAAATCTGAGGAGCCTAGCTGACCCTACTTTTACTTCTCCCTTCAAAGCAACTGGTACTTATCTTAATGTGTCCTCGGAGTGTGTCCCATGTGTTCAGAACGTTCTACCATTCTATAACACTTAAACTGAATGACCACATTAGCACTATTAGCTGGGCTTACAGCAGCGGAAAAATTAGTTGGAACACGTTGGATCCTCCCAACTCACGCTGTATGTTTATGGTCACAAATACGCGACTGCGAAGCAAATATTGTGGGTTACAGTTCACCAAAGTTGAACTCCACGCGAAGCCACGCTACGATTTGCCACGCTGCAGGGGGAGGATGTTTATTGGCCTCCTCCCTCACACAGATTGGAAGTGAATGGGAGGCGAAGGCTCGCCGCTGAAAAGATTTGCGTATGTGTGACCAGGCCTGAAGTGTGAAATGGGGAGAGATTAGGGAAGACATGCAGCAGAGCACCAGGTCAGATCCGAACGTGTGTCTGCTGCAGGAGAACTGAACCCTCCATACATGGCTCCCAGCTTCCAGTTTTAGAATATATTTTAAGTTACATCTCTGACCATTCAGTACAATATGCACAATTATGTACTTTGAGATCCTCAGGCTCTTCTGTCCATTCCTGCAGCCGAGCTGTTCCATTTTAAAACAGTTCCATTTTGTACAGCGCTTTGTAATGTGGATATTGAAAAGTGATCTATAAATTATGTTTCTTCTTGATTTTGTTTTTACTAATTGTTTTTTTACGTTTTGTGTACGTGTATTTGTTTATACTTTTTTGAATGAAAAAAAGAGAAATAGCTCAAGCTGGAGCCGGTGGGTCAAACTCCCCAAAGCAACCAAAAGGTCAATTTTACTCAACCTGGTGTCCAGCCTGTCAATATGAATGAACAGACTCTGCCTCTTTATAACAGCTAACATCAGTCACTGTTTACTACCACAGCCATCTGCTCTGGTGTGTGTGTGTGTGTGTGTGTGAAGTGGAGTCCATTGAGGGGGAATAATCCCATTAAATGACTACCATTCTCTTTCACCAGAGTGACTGACTGAAACGTAAATGACAGCTGTGCTCTCTCTCTCTCTCCACACTCACACACAAACATACACACACAGTAGCAGATGTGTCAAACCTGACATTACTACAACTGCTTTTAACTGATAATAATTTGAACGATTAAATAGCTGTTAAAATTACACAAGATGCAAGAATCTTTGCTGTATTTAATATACAGATGATCAAGGTGATTGGATAAATTAATCAAGGAACAAACTTTTTAAAATCACTACTTTAGTAATGTACTTCCACACATTCTCTTTATGTACTTAAATGATCTATAATGAAATAAAAATAATATTTCAGTAGGGACGTCAAGTCACATGTCAGACTTCACATATGTGTGTTTTGTGTCTTCATGTCACGTGACATCACGGGAGGGTGAGTTCTCATTGCAAAGAAGGAAAAGAAGTACGTAGATGTGCAGCTGATGAGGGGGGAGTCAGCAGGGCTTGGAGGAGTGAGTGGGGGTGTGGTCCTGAGGAAGACGCACATTGTCGCCTCCCCCTCCCTCCTCATTGTTGGAAAGAGAAAGTGGGTTTAAACATGACCCGAGGGTCGCACAGTTTCGCTCCCTCTGCAGAGCATCTGTCTGCCCGCCTGCTGACATCTAGACCTTTTCGGGTCACCAGGTCTTTCTTTCACAAACAAATGCATGTACACACACACACACAGACCCTCTCCTTCAACGCGTGCCGTAAATTTATCACTGACAGACACATTCATTATGCAAGAACACCCAGCCATCACATACAAACAAGCTCAACCAAAATCAAAACTGGCTCACATAATTTAACATGACTGTTTATCAACGTGAATAAAACTATAAAGCACAGGGAGCTTAACATTTTCAACTAATCGGGGCTCAATACATTTCAGTACAAACCCATGATACTTCCCCGAGTGGGGGGGTTGATGACGCTTCTAATGCACAACAGACAAAAACAATTAAAAAACAGACAAGACAAATATCTCCAGGTGAAAAAGCGGTGTCACACCCGGAGAAGACACCGGCGAAGATGTTAAGAGAGTTTGTGGTGATGAAAAATCACGTGATCTCCCCAGCTGAGTTAATACATCACTTCCTGTCTCCGCCTGCTGCACCCAGCTGGTCCACCTCTCGCATTAATAAAGAGGAGGATTTGTTGTGTCTGTGCAGACAACCTCCCGCTGTGGTGTGAGTGTGCAAAAGACAAACTGCAGGTAATTTCCGTAGCCAATTCTCTGGATTTTACCCGCAGGTCATGTCTGAAAATGGCTTATGACTGTTTCAAACTCAGTCAGACCAGACTGTGTCTGATGACACAGAAAGTAACACATTCGAAAAAAGTGTATCAGAGTAAACCTTTAGTTATACCAGAGAGCTGCTGTCAAAACCACATCTTCTTTCACAAATATTCAAATCAGAGAAAGTGAATGTGTAAAAACGATCTTTTTATAAAGTCTCATCATTCTCACCTTGACTGAATCCAACAGGTCTTTTGGGAAAAAACGCCTCAAACCAACATCTTTCCTGTAAAGAAGGAAATAGAGATAAAGAATGTTTATTATACTGTAATTACACTGAGGAATGTTAATTGTCTTTATCTGATCTTCCTCCGCTGAGAAATAAGAGCTACAGACAGATACGAAGAGGCAGAGACGACTGAACACCAGCAGAAGCAGAAAGTTACGTGACTAAGTGCTGACTTCAGAGCACTACTCATCTTTTCCTATGAGACGGGGCTGAGGAAAAACAGAGAGATAGAGAGGCAGGGGAAGAGCACAAAGAGGGAGACCACAGAGACAAAGAGGGATGAATGGAGCTAAAACAGGAAGCTGGCTAATGACTCAAACTACTCTGGAGAAAAGACAAGTAGAGACGGAGAAGCAGAGAAAGAGAGCCAGGCTGACGTCATCCTTTCTCCCCCTGCTCCACCAACATATGTCAAATATCAGTCTTAAAACTATTATTATCATCACAGAGAACGACTGCTGACAAAAACCGACTGATTAAATGATTTGCGTTAGTTCAAAAACCACAAGGATGTCTGCCAACTGCAGCCAGCTGATCACCAACAGGAACATGAGTTTTGTTTCTGTGTAAGAGGAAACAACGAGTCAGCAGTTTTCATTCCTGAAACAACTAATGTGGCAAAGCAAAGAAAAACTATCTCTGACCGAATGTTACACAAAAAGAATAGAAACTACATGCACAGATAACATTTTGAATAATGAAGTTGTTGGTAACACATTATTTTAGAATTCAGTAATTTCTGAATAATTACATTAGAATGGCACCAAGGCCCAACGTAAAAATACTATAATAAAAAAAAAAGTTTACTTGTGATCTTTTGATTTTGGAAGAAGAAAAACATAAAGGGGATTGAAACAATTGAGCTTATACATTAGTGAAATATCTGATTCAAGTTCTGATTGGAGCCAACAGTGTCAGACACTACCCAAAATATATACGAATTGTTTTTTTAATCCACTAACGCTCAACACATGCCCGCAGCCGCTCACAGCCAACTGTCAACTCGGTTTACCAAAAACCCCAACAGCACATTTTCTCTCCCCTTTTCTCGTTGGTTTGTAACAGGCACGGTACAACAGCTTTTTCCAATCAGCAGGAGATGTGGTGAGGCAGAGACACAAAGCAGAGAGAAGAAGAACACGGGAGGAAAAACTGACGAAAAGAGAGGATGAGAGCATCGAGAAGAGAGACAGATGGACGGAGGATGAAAAAGAGACACAAAGAGAACTCAATGGAAAGACAGTGTGCATTCTTCTTGTTAATTGGAGAGCTCGTTAGCCGGATGGACAGAAAGAAAGACTTCACTGGGAGAGGACAGCTCATTAGAATCAGACCACATTAGAGACGAGCAGCGTTAGGGACTTTGTTGAGTTTTTTAATGCTCTTCATCCACATCCATCTAGCGGGGAGCTGTTAGTGGATCAGCAGATGAGGCAAACTCAAAAATGTATAAATGTTAAACATGAGGGGACATATGAAGGAAAAAGAAATTGCAAAAGTGACTAAGTCAGTGTTGAAGTTGAAAAGTTTCTGATTTGTTACAGTTTGACTAAAATAAAACAGAACAGATTTCTAAATGTTCCCAAACTTTTCTATGAAAGGCTAAATTCTGAGATACTGTGTTATATTTTGGTTTTTATATGTCCCCATGTTAACACGGGATGAGGAGCCACATTCAGTGTGTGCCCCTGCAGCACTCTGACCATGCAGAAAATACTCACTCCAGTAGTTCATAGTTGGATTTCTTATCCAGGGCGTTTCCTCTCATCTCTTTGAAGAACCTCCTGGAAATGAAAGCAGTGGGACACAGAGAGGGTCAGAAACATAAGCACTGAACTAAATTACCTGGCCACTGCTGTGAACATGTCTTACCTGATTTCTAAACAGCCCAGTTTGAGAGCCACATCTTGTTCTACCTGATCCCCGATCTCTGTCATGTAGTCATTCTTCACCTGAATGACACAATTACACAACGTGTGTTAATTACAACATTTATTTCTGGGATCAACCTGATGGCCCAATGATCAAGTCAACATGTGCAGCAGGACCATTTACTTTAGTCCTGTGTTTACTCTATCTCTACCATCATGGTCCAAAAATGCCCCAAAAAATATTAAAAACATTTATTTCCTCAAGAAACAAATAGTATCACATCTATTTCTCACACAAATACACACAAAGTCCTACTGACCAAGTTTACCCACAGGCTAAAACACACAAAGTCTTCATGCAGCACCATATGTCTCGGTGCTGCCTGCTGGCACAACATGAAATATGTTTGTGCGTCTGGGTGCCTCTGAGAGTTTGTGTGTCTGTGTGTGTACCTGGTGGTAGAAGTAGTTGAGTGTAGGTTTGTCTTCTGTAAACTGCTGCACGAAGCCCTTTGGAAGATACCGGATCCTTAATTCATACCTGTAGTGGAAGGAGACAAAGGAGAGAGTTAATGTTGTGCAGAGCTGCACTGACGCCATTTTAAATCAACCAGTACCAGAGACGTGACGCTTCAGTATTGTGTAGAAAAATATGCTGGGGCAATTTCTTTTATGTGTATCACTACTAAATTTTGTAAATGAGTTAAAAAATAATCAAGTTTAATTGATAATGAAAAAGCACAGTCAGCGGTAAGCTACTGCCAGGGAGGGAAATGAAGAATCGAGACAGACAGATGAGGAGAGAAGAAAAACAATATGCAAGAATGCAAATGAGTAGACCGACTGAAAGATGAGTAGAGCAGAGACATGGAGAGATGTTGACTTGGTTTGACAAAGCAGGCATCTGCTTCTCTCTCTCAGTGCCAAAGGTCTTGCGCCTTACAATAGCATTAGCACCACGGCCGCCACAATAGAGGTAATATATAGCAGAAAATTAACATCCAAACTGCTGAACCCACACAGACACACGCGAGCCCTCCCATCACTACACCACAGACGGGCCTTACTATTTTACACGACTCTGTTTGATATAAATCACTTATGCTACTGTGGTGTACAAAAGAGCAGGCTGCTGTTTGGAGGAAGCAGTGAAACAGAATGAATTCACAAGGCTAAATAAGTCATGTCTGACAAAGACAGGAGGCTGTGAATTGTAACCTCACAGTTGGTCTCGAGAGAGATTGTTGAGGACAAACAACTACAAGGATTATAAGTAAACTTTAACAACAGTTACTCTTTAAAATCTCAGGTAAAGCTCATCTAGGACACTAGATATTAACTTTTTAAAAGGTCAGGTAAGATAACTTTACTAATCGCCAAACGGCAAATAAAATAGAGAGAAATCAGAGAGGGCACAGCGAACAACATACTGAAGACAGACAACATATATTCCAACAGGACGTCACTGTAGCTCAGGAGTCTGCCTGACAACAAATAAAATACCAAGGGCAAGGGATGTACCTTTGCCCGTTGTCCCTGCTGGCAGCTTCATGACCAAAACTCTGATTTAAGGCTCTGAATGCAGCATTTACACTTTGCACACACACTTGTCTTCTCTTACCTCCACTCCTCATTCGGTCGTGCCTGTTCGTATTTCTCTCTAACGTGGGAAACGCCCATATCAGGGTGGAGCCAGTGCACCTGGTCTCTGGATTGGCTGTTGCTGAGGTGCAGACCAAAACAAGACGTCCAGCGCACTTTGTGGATGTCCAGAATTTTCTGGATGATTCCCTGGACACAGAGAGCGAAGAATTTAATTTTGAGAACACTTTCCCCCCTCTATTTGAATTGGTACTATCCTGGTAAAAGTGTCCCTGCACATGTTCAGTATATCAGTGTTAAAGCAGAGAAGCTCAGTGGACAAAAACACTGACCAAGTTATTGTACCAATAGTGCTTAAGTATATGTCTGGCATTTTGTATCAGGTCAACAAGGGCATCAGTCTATCCAAGTGAATTTGTCTGTCTGTGTGTGTGTGTGTGTGTGTGTGTGTTTGTGTGTGTGTGTTGTTGATTTCATTTCATTTAACATGACATTCCCACCCAAACAAGTTGAGAGACATCACACACACACGCCCCATAATGCTCACAGAACCATGTGCATTGCCATGTAAAACGCTAGGGGGTCTGACCTACATACTGAAGGAGGGAGAGGAGAGGAGGATGAGAAGAGCAAGAGGAGACGAAGTAGAGAGGAGGAGGAGAGGAGAGGAAGAGGAGAGGAAGAGGAGGGAGATGACAAAAGTTTGAGTTGCACTAAGTAGTTTCAGCGTCATGGGAGTGGATCTAAAAGCACTGAAATGTAAACATACAATGGTACATGCACGCACACAAAAAGATGGTGTCCTGAGGTTACATGCATTCCCACGAAAATTATTCTCATTGTTCTTTATCAAAGCGGACAGTTGGGACCTTGAGCCAAGGACATAAAACAAAGATCCACCTTTAAAACCACTGGAAGGTTGCAATGGTCACTTGTAGTCAAATAAGCTTCTCACTATTCTCTATTTGTCTTTGTGTAAACACATGAGTGAAAAATCAACAAAATCCAACACAGATTATGTAGAGATTAACAGTAAATACCTGCGATGCATAATTTACAAAGTTTAAGATAAAAACTATTGTGGTGCTATAGTGTTATTGACTTAAAAACAATCCACTAATAGAATTTAAAAGTAAAAACTGTGCCACAGACCTCAAGTTCTGTCCAAAACTACTGAAACCTCATCAATGAGCTACATAGTTGCAGTGGAGGACATGTGCCTTCATTACCATGAACAGAACCACTGTTATTTATTTTACGTGATCACAACAACACAGTCTTGCTGCTCTTAACTCAAAAACACCAAATGTGGCTGAAAATAATCTAAAACCCTTCAGATTGAATTTTTAATGCCACAGTTTGGCATCAAAACTGTTATGGATTAAATTTAACAACTAAGCCTTTAACTTGTGTCCCTAATATTTTGCACATACAGTAGGTGTTCATCTCTTCTCACCCTGACATCAGTTGCGTCTCCATATCTGATATTGGACGACCAGCAGCTGTTCTCAGTGTTGGTCTCAAAGTGGTGGAAGACTTTGAGAACCCTGTCCACGGAGCCGGCAATGGTTCGGTCTGACCCCCCCGCGCTCAGCCGCGACTTGGCGCCTCCGAGGAGGGTGTGATTCAGGTTGGGGTCCAGGTAGGCCGTCGCCATGGTTTTCCTCGCCGACACAGCAGCTGCTAGGTGTCTGTCATATTCTGAGGAGCACAGAAGGTGAATCAGTTAGAAAGATGAGGAAGAATGAAGAGATGAATGAGAGGAGAGTGACGGAGATTTTGAAACACTGAATCCGTTTTGCAAGTAACCAATCAACCATTTAGGGCAGTGATTTCTGGGAGATAACAAACTGATGTAATGTGGATCATTAGCAGGATACCTATCAGGATAATCACAAATATGCAGCCATGACAGGATGAATATATGTGCGATGTGTCAGTTGTAACCCCAGAAGACAAAGTGCTACACTGATGAAGTTGTGAAATCTAGATAGCATGAAAGAAGAGGAAGGCTTCACATAAAGACTGCCAGAAAAATGGAGCAACAATTTCCACAGAGGTGCCAATTATATGGCAAAAATAATGATACCTACATTTGAAAATAGAAATTCTTTAAACAATTGCCAAATACATTGTTAGTGAGTGACAGTACATATGTCATCAGATTTAAGCTGGGGCCAGTTCCCCCTTGTTCCAGCCCTGGATCCACCCCGATCACAATTTCTAAGACTCCCAGATGAGGTTTGATCAATGAACGTACAAAACTGTTTGTTCTCTGCCGCTCAACTAATTGCTTCGGCTCTTGCTCGTTCAGTTACATAACAGCTCCTCTCTCTGCTGTCGGCTACAGGTTGATGCTGCTGTAACACTGTGGACTTGAATCCTGCTCCTCTTATACTTAAACACTGCAAAGAAACTGTCTGTTCCTGATGTGATATACTTTGGCAAGATGAACCCACAGGAGCAAATGAGAGAGACAACAAGAGGTGCAGTCCAGGTCAAGGCTCAGTGTGTGTGAGCGCACGTGTCTGAAGACAATGCACCTCAGGCTGACGTTTTTCCTGAATACTAAGTCCTGACATTGACACACTTCCTGGAAATTCAAGGTAACTTCGTGTGGAAATGGCCGACGTGAGTGTGTGAGACGTAGCGTACATTTTTTGTGTGCATGTGAGCTGCTGTAATCACGTAGAGAAAGATACTGAGATCTCTTTTCACTCTGCAATTTTCTGCTTCGCTATCTTCCTGTGCTTCTCCTCTCTCCTCCATTAAAGGAAAATTGATATGTTCAAGCAGGTAATTACACCTGAGAGAGAGAGAGAGACATAGACACACACTCGCTTCAGAGGAAAGATTGTTGCTGATGGATATATCGCAACATAAAAATGTGCTCCCATCTTACTTTGCCAATACCAATTAGTAATGACTTTCATTGACAAATCACTTAGTTCCCAGCTCTCTCTCTCACACACACACACACACACACACANACACACACACACACACACACACACACACACACACACACACACACACACACACACACACACACACACACACACACACACACACACACACACTTCTGCGGGGTAATGGCAGCATTGGCAGTACACCAACTCAGTTCCCATGGAGTCAGATGTCACTCTTGTGTTTCTGTGTGTGTGTGTGTGCAGAGGGAGATCTTATTCATTCATACCTCTGTCCCAACACATGGGGAAGGGGCTACAGCCACTGGTCGCCATGGAAACACATGTCTGTCCCTCCCTGTGTCTGTCTGTGCCGAGGACAGATAGACAGCTTGCTGCTTCGCAACCTCGCATCACACACACCGAAAAGCGAACTTCTCGTGTGTAGAAGTTACATAAATAAACGTACTGAGCTGCTGACACAACTGTGAGAACGCTTTCCCATAACCCAAACAATAACACACACACACACACGCTGCAAACACACACACTCAGTCTCCAAGGCAAAAATCTTTGTCTCCAACTTTTGTCAACAGCTTCTTTAGCCAACAGTTTCTTCCAGAGGCAAAAATCAAAAAGGGCAATTTTCTGCTCTGTTGACACTTTGTAAAGAGTGTGAAGATGCTACAGAAAACAAATGAGAGGAAAAGTAAAAGATTCCCATCCTTCAAAGAGTTTCTTCTCTATTTAGTTTTGTCTTCTTAATCTTCTCTTGTTATCCACGGCAGGCACAAGACGAAAAAATCCCCCAGAGATGTAGTTTCTCATGCACAAACTTCTCCTCTCCTCCGATTCTGTCCACTTCTGAATTACTCCTCAGTGGCCCCTCTCTGATGACAACACTCTGTTTGTTTTTTGCCCGATTTCTGCCTCCATGCCTGTGCTCCGTAGTTACACAGTTGCCGTGGAAGCGTGAAGCGACTGTCGCTTAGGAGAGGGTTCTGGATCCAGTGATCGGTGAGAAGACGGCTTCCCTTCAAAAGTTTATTCCAAATGGATTTTCACTCAGTCAGCGGTCACAGAGAAAGAGGAGCAATTACTGTGCTCGATGAGAAACAAAAAGAAAGTTGTCGTCTTCTCTTAGAGACAGAAAGTGAGAGAAAAGAGGGAGCCAGAAAAACAAAAGGAAACAGAGACAGTGGAGCAGAGAGAGAAAGAGAGGAGGAGAGAAATGCAGCAATTGTTTCAAGTTGAATGAGAGGAAAAGGAGGACAGAGCAGAACAAGTGACAGAAAGTTGAGTGGGGGAACAAGAGAGCTGGAGAGAGGAGTCCTGGAAGAGCAGGAGGAGCTAGAAGCTATTAATATGCTAATCAGGTCTCTTCCATTCATTAATAACCCCACCCACCTCTGTTACTGCAGCAGGAGAGGAGAGATTCATTTTAATGTTACCCTGACTGAGTCCTGTATGTAAACTCACAACTGCAACAAAAACACAAACCAATCCATGTTCAAACGCCCAATCAATCATTCTGCGCATTGTACATCAGGTCATACTCTTTCTTTCCTTTTTGTTACTAGAGCACTCAAGGTGCTTTCTGGGAGCTTGTCTCCGGGGCAATGTACCTACAATACCCTACAAGTGAGTCGCGCCTATCGCTGTGCCGGTTACAGCTGACCAGATGCCAGCTGCCGTTAATCAAATGGACGTTTATACGGGTGAACAGATCCTCAACAGAAGAGCTGACTGAACAGATATAAGTCTATTACTCAACACTCTTTAATCTCTGGGCTATCTAAGGCCAACAATTAATATTTACAACTTCTGCTACAAATGACATATACTATATATATAATGTCCGTCCGTCCCGGGAGACGTGTCCCTCAATTTAGTTTTTTTGGTAGATTTTTTTTCTCTCTCTTTGAGGGTTAAGGAAAGAGGATGTTGCACATTGTAGAGATTGCTTTGATTTATGACTATGGGCTATAGAAACAATATCTGTCAATCTGACAGACCAACGACATTACCAACTGACCACTATGAACCAATCGGCAACCCACCATGACCAATTTTATGAGCTGGTGTTTTGAAGCCATGAATTTGGCATTTTGTTCAGTGCCATCTGTAAACCAGAAGGAGCCATATTTGGAGGAGCAGGGGGCGAGTTTGACTGAGAGCTTGAGGACACTGTTCCCCCACCTACACCTGCGGCCTAAACCCATTGGTTGGTACTAGCTGTCAATCAATGCCCTGATGTATACTGTGCTTTATTGTCTTTTTGACGATAAATGGGAGCATAATGTACAAAATAAACATCACGCCGTAGTGAAGACTTCAGACTGAAACCATGAGCTCCTTATGAAAATGTTTACTGACATTTTAAATCAAGTGAGAAGTTGGAACGTTTTCTCATCTCCTCACTTCAGTCGAAATCGACTTTGCAACCATTGGAGTCGCCCTCTGTTGGTCATTCAAAAGAATACAGGTTTCAGGCACGCATTGGCTTCATTTTCTTTGTCTATTTTTTGATAATCACACATGCCCCGCAAAAGATAGACGTTTGAAAATGTGGACATGCTATTTGTTTTTGGAGCACTGGCCAGGTAGAGCTGTACCCCCCTCAGCTGCGACCACAAGTAGAATCTAATTATATATTTTTTTTAATACACTGCAACGTATAAATAAATCCCAGAACACATGTTTAAGTGACAGAATTTTGAAATCCTGATGTTTCATCGTGTCCCAGATAAGCGTGCAGTACAATGTTTTGTGTGCACGTGATTTGTGCTCCAACTAAGGAACTGGCAATTGTTAAGGAAATCTGGTGGGAGCAGGGGGTTTTGGCAGAGTGTGTGTGTGTGTGTGTGTGTGTGTGTGTATACTATTGAAAGCCTTTTGTCAGGAGGCCGGATGTTGCCATGACTAGGAAGCGCTCTTTTGGGACCGAGCCAAAGTCTCTTCATCTATTTCTATCTCTCGCTGTGTGTTTACGAACATAATTGTTTTATCAGGGGAGGAAAACACTCACATTCTGCAAAATGTACATGAAATGTAGAAGGTTCAGGAAACCCTCTGAACTGTAACAGTCACTTTGATGTTTTATCAGTGAACAATCAGTGTATTCACATTAATTCTGTGAAATTTAAATCCAAAGGCTCTTTGAACTAAGGGCATATTTTAGCATATAAATACAGTATTTTTCCAACATAAATGTTAAAATATACATTTTTTGTACTTGCAAATCAAAGATAAAGCAAAGAACTACTGACATTTTGAGCCAGCGCCCCAAGACTACTGAAAGTCTACTTTACAGTTCCATTAGCCATTTATAATATTGAAATGAGGTTCCACTGATCTTAAAAAACAACCACTGTGTGTCAAAGCATCAATAATACATTAACTACTGTCACACATTACAATGATTAAATCAGCACAAATGGATGTAGCAGTGATATTTACACGAGGAGACATTCATGTGCTGCAATTTTCTCAACATAAGAGAAATATAAAATCGGTATATGCAGGGATTTTAAACACAAGTAAACCTGCTAAATTGCAACTTGAGGAGTACAGTAGAGGAGCTTGCGTTTCAGTCCCCCCCCCCCCAAATGCGTCATATCTAACATCATGGAAGCACAGACAACTGCAGCGCACTCTCACCTCAATGTCTTACCAAATTAGCACATTCACCCTGGTGTCATGTTTCCTTCACAGCCGATCGGAGCCAGAGTCGATTAAAGAAAATCAACTGACACGGGAGTTAATGCGATTCTATCCATTCCCATTGCAGACAAGCCAGATGTTAGTAGGTGTTAGTGGGGGTTTTGACCAAACTGAAAGGAGCTATAATTTACATTCTTCCTGTGTCTGTGTCAGGTAATTGTGGTGGTATTTACAGTTTCACACAATTTCATATTAATGAGCATTAATCATGGTTTCGCTCATCAACTAAATGAATACAGTGGATAGATACATCATCAGTCCAATAAGAAATGTCAGACCATACCAAACTGCTTTGATGACAACCACAAGCCTAAAAATGCTTAACTTAAGAATTAAAACTTAATTACAGGAAACTGGCCCTCTGCATAAGCTAAAAAACACAAGTTCAAACACTGGTATCAAACATCCTGTCTCCATTGTTTTTGTCTTGCTTCCTGGCAGCTGGAAACAGCTTTATGAAACACATTTACAAATGATGATACAGTAAAGTGACAAAGCAGGAAAACATCTGAAGACGTTTTAGTGGGAAGGAACCTTAAAAAGTGTTACCCATTTAGCAGTGGAAATGCGAAACTCTATTGTGTTAAGGGTCAAAAAGATCAACAGGAATTGCTTGTGATAGTTACAATATGTTGGTCACTGGCAACTTTATTAGTTAAACATAAGTAGCCAGCAGGGCGAGCTTTCTGGGCATGATGCCACAATACGTGAATATGCTCTCCTGCTCCGTCTCAGTAGCACAAAGGAAAACTAATTTCCACCCTCATGTTATAAAAGCTATTCTGTTTGCACTATGAGAACAAACACACACAGATAAAATGTATAACAGTCAATTTTCTCCTGCTTAATATCTTACTTACATCAAACACAAATCGGACTCACTTAAATACAGATCTGTATCTTCCTATCTGCAGACAAAGACTTTATGCCTTTTAAGTGTTTTCCTGAATGTTTTCTTCATTCAAATAAAAGTTTTCATATCAGCACATTTCAGTAAAGAGTCTATAAAAAGCTTATATTAGCCAACCGCTAATTCATTCAGGCTCTAGTCTTGTATCAACATGGTGGTTCTTTGATTATGTCAAAAGACAGGAAGCTGAATCCACTAAAGTGTTATAGAGTTAACTAGAGAAGTTTATTTCAGGACAACTTGTCGTTCCTTCATTTCCAAACATCTGACCAGCAGCTCCTGTGCAGTTGCACTATGCTTAACAGTGGTAGTCCATCATAATGTCAGCTTATTAGTTTCACTTGAGTGAATTTACTAACTTTATTTACATAAATCCATTCATCGTCAGACTTGTTCTGAAGATGGCAGATCAACTACTGAGTGGACTTGGTGACTGTTTTTATCATCAACTGTCTCCAAGGTGAACACTCAAGTTACCACCACTGAGGTGCCCTTAAGCAAGGCATTTAACCCCCACCTGCTCCGCCTGATGGCCAACAGCTCAGACTGTCGTTTAACATTTAATCATGGCCTGAATAAAACTTTAATTCTAATTCTGTCCTCCATATGGCTGAAGTAGCAGCTTGTGAGAGTGTGAGTAAGATGAACCTGACACACATAAAAGAATGATTACACAATCACACAGGAATCTTCATGCATTACTGAATACAAAAACTAATGTGAAGCAAAAAAGCTAAAGTGACATTTGGTGAAACTGAATCTTTTTTTAAAATACAAAAGAAGTGTATTTGTATTTGTTAACGTCAGAAAAACTTCAGTAAATCCACTGATTAATGAGGTAATTCCTAGGTTTTTCTAGATACTAATTATGACACTTGTTCTTTTAGGTACAAATTGGGCATGGATGATTGAATGAAGCGGCTGAATTATTAAATTAAATGTTATAGCAAGTGTTTGAGGGCCAATTACTCACCTGTGTAGTAGGCAAGCCTGGAAATATCTGAAACACAAACAGAAAACATGAGGGTCAGCTGGTTTGTTTAATTACGGGAACTCATCCGCTCAGAACAAAAATGTCACTGAAGTTTATCATTAGGTTCCACAGCAGGTGTTAACGGTTCAGCAGCTGAATGTGAATTGCAGAAGGGAAGCCAGTGCCAGCAGCTCTGTCATACTTATCGAATTAAACATCAATATGTTGTTGAAATGTCAACCGGATATTGATGGAGGTTTTTCTAAAAATCAATACCCCCATTGTTACATAAATGACCCACACCCCTTCGCTTTAAAGATCTAATTGGGACATGGTTTATTGTTCAGGGGTTTCGGCATAGCTGCTTTGAGATGTGAATGTGCATGGGGGGGTGTAACATGACTGCAAAACTCGAGTGAATATTCACTCAACTAATATATATACAACACAAGGAGAAAACACATTTGCATGCTAAATATACTGCACAAAATGACCTGAGGTTCTAAGTTGAAAGTAATCCTGGCATGAGTCATACTCATATCATTGAGTGGTGAGGTACACTACACTGTATTGACACTACCGCTCCCAAACTCTCACAGGAAGCACAAGAGGAGCCTTTTGGGAACCTGACACCAAGTTAGAGCACTGATAGGGGCCGTATGTAGGAGGAGGTCAGGAGGATAAGTGCTTTAGACACCATGATGTACACACAAATACTGGGTAAGCACACACACACACACACACACACACACACACACGCATGAACGTACATACACATACAAACTGGGGGGAGTGAAATGACAGCAAGGGTTGTCAAAAAAATGATGTAATGGTAAGAAGAAAGAAAACCCTCAAAGAGAAAGGAAATGCCAGCAAGGTGACTCATAGTGTGTGTGTGTGTGTGTGTGTGTGTGTGTGTGTGTGT